CCGCCGTGGACCCCCCAGTCAGGTCGGCCCTGGTTTGCCGCAGTCCCGCCACACATCACCCCGTTCAAGCTGGAGGGTCCGGCCAACGCGGGCGACATGGTGGAGCTGGCCTGCCAGGTGCCCAAGGGCGACCGGCCCGTCGCGATCGAGTGGCTGCGCAACGGCTCGGCCCCGGGCGGGCCCGGCGGCCAGGACGCCGACGACGGCGTGGCGACGCCCATGTTCGGGTCGCACACGCGCTTCCTGACCATTGCCAGCGTGCAGCCGGGCCACGCGGGCGCCTACACCTGTCGCGCCACCAACCCCGCCGGAGTGGCCGAGTACACGGCGCACTTGGAAGTCAACGGTACACGACGCAAGCCTATTTGGGGGGCTTTGTGTGTGTGTTGTGTTTTTATGGGGGCGCAATCGCTGAACCATTGTTGGTTATTTTTCAGTTGCTCTCTTCTCTGACTGTCTACTTTGCATCCCCTTACCCACTTCCCACCTGCTCTCCTTTCGTCGTTGAACGTCATTTAGCTGGCCTGTTGTTTTAGGATATTCTTGGGTCCAGTAGGTTCAGGGCATGTTTCTTTCTCCGTTAGGAACATAGAGATTTCACACTTGTTATAGAAGATCGATTCCTTTCTAGTCCTCCCACACATCTTGCCGTTCGCGCTCGACGAGGAAGTGCATATGGGCGACAGCGCGCAGCTCAACTGTCATGTGTCCAAGGGGGACCGTCCCCTCCGAGTGTCCTGGACCTTCCAGGGTCGGGAGCTACGACCGGAGGACGGCGTGGAGGTGCTGGCCGTCAACGAGAAGACCAGCATCCTGACCATCACCTCGGCCTCGGCCGCTCACAGCGGCAACTACACGTGCCGTGCCCAAAATCCGGCCGGGGTGACGGAGCACTCGGCGCCTGTCCACGTCAACGGTGCGACCTGCGAGGCTTGCAGGGCCTCGATCTGGGCATGCAGTGTGTCGTCTTTAGGACTTTTTCTCTGCTTTTCTCTCACACAAAACTCCTGACTGTTCTACCTCACCCCTTCCACCGACCCCCACTATCCCCTCATGTCCGTGCGTCCAACAAACCAGAACAACAATGTTTCCCCCACGCGCTGCTTGTCGCAGTGGTCGCTCGGGTCTTCAGTAAGATTGTATTCGATCGCCATTAGCTCATTTTCGTTTCCTTGACCCTGTCTCTTCTGAATACCCTTCCAGTGCTCCCCCACATCCTGCCCTTCGCGCTCGACGAGGAGGTGCACATGGGCGACAGCGCGCAGCTCACCTGCCACATCTCGAAGGGCGATCGTCCTCTGCGCGTATCTTGGACTTTCCAGGGCAGGCAGGTCGGCCCGGAGGACGGCGTGGAGGTGCTGGCCGTCAACGAGAAGACCAGCATCCTGACCATCACCTCGGCCTCGGCCGCGCACAGCGGCAACTACACGTGCCGCGCGCAAAACGCGGCCGGGGTGACGGAGCACTCGGCGCCTGTCCACGTCAACGGTGCGAGGACCAGACTGCCCTTCCTTAGGCCGGTCCGGTGCATGCTGTAGCACTTGGTGTGCAGCTCTGCTTCTTTTAAGTCTTTGCCCATCTCCCCACCCTCACCCCTCTCTCACCCCGTGCACAAGCGTGTCCAACTTGACGAGTGTCCTCGTCCATCCAGCTGTCGTCGACCCCGCATTTGGCACACACGGTTCGAATCCCGGGGGTTCCATCATCATTTTCTCTTCTAGTCCTGCCGCACATCATGCCGGTCGCTCTGGAGGAGGAGGTGAACTTGGGCGACAGCGTGCAGCTCAACTGCCACGTCTCCAAGGGCGATCGGCCGCTCAACATCACGTGGAGCTTCGAGGGCGGGCCGCTGCATCGGCTCGCGGGGGTGGAGGTGGTGTCCGTGGGGGACCGCTCCAGCATCCTGACCATCACGTCGGCGGGGGCCGAGCACAGCGGCAACTACACGTGCACCGCCTCGAACCCGGCGGGGTCCTCGACGATCGCGGCGCCCGTGCACGTCCACGGTACTGCCCTTGGCGCGGGGTTTGCTGTTTGATCTGACTCAATCTATAGTTTGTTTCGGCTTCCTTTTCTTCTCTTTGCGCCTATCGCACCCCGCCCGTCCTAGGTATCCTACCCTCCTACCCTCCTATTACACACACTCGCACTCTTACACAATGGAGAAGGACTGTCCCTCTCCATGTCTCGCATATCTTAGTCGTGGTGGTCGTGGATACGGGTTGAGTGGGGGGGGGGGCATGTCTAGTTCGTCTAGGTGTCTCTGTTCACAGCAGCTCCAGCTCCTTCGTCCATACTCTGATCTGATTCTACTGCGGTGTAGTAGACGAAGATCATAGACTGGTCCGACGGTACAAAGCCTATTTTCCCCTTCTCAAGTTCCACCCCACATCACGCCGTTCGCGTTCGAGGCGGAGGCGTTCGCGGGGGACAGCGTGCAGCTGTCGTGCTACGTGTCCCGGGGGGACCTCCCCCTCAACGTGACGTGGCGCTTCGACGGCCACGCCGTTCTGCCGGGCGCCCCGGGCGTGCCGCCGGGCGTGTCCACGGAGCGTCTCGGCACCCGGAACAGCGTCCTCACCATCGAGTCCGTGACGGCGAGCCACTCCGGCAACTACACGTGCATCGCCAGGAACAGGGCGGCTGCCGTGGACCACACCGCCCCCTTGAGAGTCAACGGTACTTCCCCCTCGGCGGCCCTGGGTTCTGTCAATGGCATGGCCCGCTGGCCGCTGGTAGATCTTGCAATAGGATTTGGTTTTCTGGTCACGCTGTTGTGGTACTTTGCCTTCCTCCAAATTCTCTACCCTACCCTTCGCTATCTTCCCCGCCCCTGAGAGGTTTGCCAGAGCTGAACTAAAATTGATGTGTATGCTTTATTTGTCGTGCCAGTTCCCCCCAAGATGATGCCCTTTAGCTTTGGGGAAGAAGCTTTTCACGCTGGCCAGTCGGCAACACTCCAGTGTTCCATCTTCGAGGGAGATTTGCCTCTGACGCTCAGCTGGCTCTTCAATGGTGTTCCAATTCCTGCTATGCATCCTGAAATATCTACAGCCATGTTCGGCAAACGAGCTACTATGCTCAGCATCGATGCTGTATCTGAGAAACATGTGGGCAACTTCACCTGTGAGGGGAAGAATGCTGCTGGAAAAGCGACCTACTCTGCAGAATTGATTGTTAATGGTTTGTCCACTGATGGTTTTCAGGATGCTGGTTGCTGGTTGTGCTGTTGTGGTAGTAGTTTATGCTGCGCTTGGTCTTGTGGATGTCATTTAACCCTAT